ACATGAGCGACAGGGAGAGAGAGAGACGCAGCCTTGTCACAAGATAAGGCCTTGTCACACCATCATCCTGTTCCTTAGCGCTCCAACTCGCAGAGCCTTGGGCACACATGCGTGCACCCAGCACACTCTGGTCCACCAGCCGGGCATCTGAACCCATGCCTGGCCACGTGACTGCTAGCACCACAGAGCAGTGCACCGAGGGTGGGCTGGGCCATGGAGACCTATGGAAGATGGAATCAGGCACCAAGGAAAGTGCTTGTCCCATTCCTAAGGGACCCTTGGTCCCACTCCACTCTGTCAGTGTGATCTGTCCCTCAGAGACCACCTCCCCTTTCTCCTCAGCCCCTTCTTCCCTTTCCCATCTCTTCTTCATGCCAGTCTAAACGTATTTTTGTGGGTTGAACTGTGTCCCTACCCAAAAACCTGCTAAGTCCTGTACCTATGAACGTGGACTAGTACCATCTGGAAAAGGTGTCTCTGCAGGTGTAATCACATTAAAATGAGGTCATCCTGGATGGGACTAGGGTGGGCCATAAGCCAGCGGCTGGTATCCTTACAAGAAGAGGGAAATCTGCACACAGACGCACAGGAAGAATGGCACGTGACCACGAAGGCAGCGACTAGTGTCTGGCAGCCGCAAACTGACATTGATGACACCTTGATTTCAGACTTCTAACCTCCTACACTGTGAGAGAATAAACCCATGCTGTTTTGTTTTTTTTGTTGTTGTTTTAGTTTTGTTATAGGGCACATGGGCTCACCAGAGAGAGAGAGCAAGTGAGAAATCACACCCACCCCCCACCCCCCGGAGAAGATGGCCATGCTGCAATCCCTTCTCCTCCATTCTCCTCTCAGGGTTTTGAGCACATATGCATCTGTGCCCAGCATAATTTTCAAGTCTCCAGGTCTAGGACTTGAACTGCTCAGTCGACCATGTGGGATCCAGCTGCCTTAACCTCCAAAGCCACCCGCTGGCCCCAAATCCATGTTGTTTTAAGCTACCCAGTTGTGGTGTTTAGCTACGGCAGCCCTAAGAAAGTGAAGCACCTGCCCAAGACCAGAATTTGGAAACCACCCTGCTCAGGCGTATTATCAGAGCCCTAGGGGACCCCGGCCCTGCCTTCTCTCCAAGTGCACACTGAAGATGAGTCATCGCCGAGCCTATTGTGGACCTTTGAAACCAAGAAGCCTGCCTCCCCCATGGGGAAAGGAGGGAGGCCTTCCACGTGATTATTTAGCAGGAAGAGGATGTTAGGGGGTGGGAGGAGGATGGCCAGCTGCTTGTCTTCCCACAAGGGACTGCGCAAGAAAAAAGGGGGCTTTTAAGAAGATGTCACCATCATCTATTTTCACTCATTCAGTCAATGCCATGGAGCACTTACGATGCTGGGCACTGATGGTAACTGGAGAGCGTGCGTATGTGGGTTGGGGGTGGAGAGAAGGCTAAGGAATACAATGCACATGCCCTGGTCCTGTGAGCCCATGGAGTTGGAGGCCTGAGCGCACATAAGGGATTATTAGGAAGTCCCAGGAATCAGATGGTGAGATTGAATCCTAGCTCTGTCACTGCTTTCCACTGTGATTTCGGACAAGTTACTCAACCTCTCTGGGCCTTAGGCTTATTGAGAAACTAAAACAAAATGATGTATCTAGTACAAGACCAGGTAAGTGCTCACAAATGCAAAACGACTTGTCCAAGTTCACCGAGCAAGAACCATGGCAGAGCCAGCGTGCAAAACAGAGCTCCCAGGCACATTCTTCCTGTTCCTGGGCAATATTTATAGCAAGTCAGGGGGTTTGAGGACGGCACACGGTCAGGAGGGCCTAGGTCATGCCACTTAAAGCTGCAGTTTCCTCTCTAGAGTGTATGTTTATTTTAACTAGCAAACATATCTCTAGTGCTTCCTGTAGGGTATTCCAAGTCCATTATGTTCGTGACTTTTAATCCTAACAGCCTGTAAGAGAGACACTGCTCTTCCCATTGTACGGGTGTGGGAGTGAGGATGGAGAGACGGTGACTTTCCTAGCGCCCCGGGATAGTGAGTAGTGGGAGCAGGATTCAGATCCGGTTCTTCCACTGCAGAGACAATGCTCTTGACCACTCTGCCCTGCAGCACTCTTCCGAGGGGGCGAGCTGCTATTGGCGTGCACGCACAGTGAGGAGCAGGCAGAATTAACACCGCCACATGGAAGCCACCCTTCGGCACTATTGCTGCAATAAGACCAGGAGTTATTTGACCCTGTAGGGTGAATGGCAGGACAGGGGCTGTTTAGTCCTGGGATTCTCTGAGTCAACAGCTTCTCATCCCTGGCCCACTTCCTGAAAACTGTGCACTCCGCTTTGGGAACCCTTTGAGCACAAAGAGCTCATTTCCTGTGGCCAGGAAGGACGGGATGAGTTCCTGATGACAACTCGTCTCCCTCATTAAGGGCTCATAAAAGTGTTTCAAGGAGCCTGACTGATGGTTCCGCTGTTTGTCAGGACCTCCTTCTGCAAGGAGCCGCTCCGGTAATTTGGTGCTAGGAGATGCGCAAGAGAAACCAACTCCTCTGAGTCCAGGAATTATTTATGATCCTAGAAAGAGATTGTCATTGGGAGAGATAACAAGCCCTCCCCAGCACAACAGCTGTTTCATATGCTACATGGGACGGGAGGCAGCTCCAGAATCCAAAACTAGTAGGAAGCCTTGCCGGATTTGGTACATGTGAGTCGTCAGTTCCTACAAAGGGAGCTAGGACAAAAACAGAAATGACAATAGCTAACATTATAAAAAAGGAGTTCAGAAAGTTCATGAAAAGTGGAATTAAAGTTTATTTTGATGCCTAAAAAAATTTTTTTAATCCATGCAGTTTTTCCCCTAATACTATTTCCTAAGAACTTTTGAAGACCCTTCATAGTGGGTTTACCCCAGGCCAGAGCCTATATTAAATGTAACTCATTTAATTCTCACCTCGTTTTACAAATGAGGAAATTGAGGCACAGAGAAGTTAAGGAACTTGCCCTAGGTCACACAGCCATGAGTGGCCATGTCAAGATTTTAATCCAAGTAAGTCTGCCTCTACTTGTGCTCTAAAGCACCAGTCTCGGTTAAGTCAGCTCAGCAAGTTGATTATATATTCAAAATTATCTGTGATAATCCCTTAGAATACTATAGTTTAGTATATTTGGTTTTAGGCATAGGGCCCTGTTCAGTAATTCTAATACACACTAAAGTTAGAGAACCACTGAGTGGAACAAGTCTATATGAGGGGCCAGCAGGTGGCATGGAGGTTAAGGCACTGGACTTCCACATAGCCAACCATGGATTGAGCCCCAGATCTGGCAGCTTGAAAAATCATGCTGGGTGCCTATGTGCATGCCCAAAATCCCAGGAGGAAAATGGCGCAGAAAGGAGTGCAGTGTGGTCACCCCCCCTGGCGGGGGAGGGTGATTTCTCACTTTCCCTCTCACTCTCTCCCTATGGCAAAAACCCACAAGACAACAACAACAACAAAAATACAAGTCTATAGGCAGATAATCGTGCCTTTAAACTACTCTGACTCTGGGTGAGTTGTCAAATTCCTAGGGTAAAAATGGACAGAATTCCAGAGTGCCCCTACCTGCTGGTGACTCTCTTCTTTAATATTTAGCCTCTGTGACCTTAACACATGTCACTGGTCACAAGACTTATTTGCTGTATGATTAAGACATAACACAGTCACATCTTGAGAGGAGAGAAAATTCTATTAGAGAATTCTGAAGTTCGAGCCTAAATTAAATAGACTTGGTACGATGAGACTATCTTTCTCTCTTCTTTTAAGATTTATTTATTATTTGCTATAGAGCATATGAGCTCACCAGAGAGGCGGGTGGGGGAGTGAGAAAGCAATGGGACCTGCACCACAACAGAACATGTGGGAGTTTAGCACCTTAACCATAATGCCACCTGCTGGCCCAAGCCTGTTTCTTAACCTTAAAATGATCATAGCAATCATTGTGTTGAGAAAATTGAATTTGAAAGTTTCTCAAGTAGGGAGCTTGCCTATAAAATACAGTAATTAAACATTAGCTCTTAATAGCTTTGGCTTAAGGAAGGTCACATCACGTTTCTCATAGTCTCATCTGTAATATGGGCATAACTGTTTCTCCTTCTGACCTCAAACGTGCCTGTAAAGGACCGGTTATACGTGAGAATCTCCCCAACTGCCTGGTGCTACCTGGAACTGTGAGGGGGTGCTGAGAAACCTCTGCTGAAGAAATGGGTCCAGATTCTCGCTTTCGCCATTTAGTGTGGTTGTGTGACTCTGAGCCCCCACGTTCCCTACTGTCAAGTGGGATTAATATCACCCTACTCGCGGGGTTCCTCGATAATCTACTCCGCAGAAAAGAGTTGGGCACGTGGCAAACGCTCAATAAATGCGCGCTGACTCGCCCTCTGCGGTTGACCCAAACGCAGCCCCGGTCCACCCGCAGCACGCGGTGTCTCCCCGCGAGCTCAGGTAGACAGGGATGCTCCCGGGGGCCCACCATGCTCCGTTTCCCGGATCCTCAGCCCGCCAGCCGTTGCCATGGCCACCGGTTCAGGCCCGGAGCAGAACCGGGGCGTGTTCCCCACCCCCCGCCTCTCCAGGCTGACCATTGGCTGGCGCGGCCACGTGACGCGTCGGTATGCTAATATATGGTAATCGCCCACGCCCCTCCTCCCCGGCCGCGTCCGAGCAGCCGGCAGGGAGCGCGGCGCCGAGCGGAGGGGGCGGGCTGAGGGGCGGCCCCGGGAGAGAGCGGCCAGGTGGAGGAGGAGCGCGAGGGCGACCGCAGGTAACGGGCGGGCGCGTGCGCGCTGGGGCCTCGGTGGACCGGCTGCGCGCGGGGGACACTGGCCGTCGCGCC